ACGCAATGGCCATGGGCCTATGGCTATTAAATGAAATTTCAATTTTATTTTTTTTAGCATATTTAGATTGTAACACCCTATAAATAATCATGGTACTTTATATTCTTTTTTAGAATGGGACTAGGCTAAAGTTAGCTTGTTTCGTAAGAAATGTTTCCCCTTTTGCCAGTCTGTCCATGTGATCAGGATAAAACCTTTTTTGTAAAAACAAATCTAATCAAGCAAATTAAATATATATTTAAAATACAAAACAAACCACAATTTTTTATTTATAAAATATTTTACCAGTAAAGATACATTGAGATTTCTCTTGTTTTCAAGTATGTCTTGGGTCCACAAGTCATTGCATTGTTACATTAGGGTACAATAAAATACAAAAACAATAAATACAAAATTTAACATAGAACAGGTAGGAAATATATAATCAACCATGACAGGTGCATTCTGTTTTGGGGTATGTAGAGAGGAATCTCTTAAAGGACTTTAGGCACAGTTGATTATTACTTCATAAGCACCAATGGAATTTCACAAACATTATTCTATACATTAATTTTATGACAAATAATTTGTTTAAGGCAAAAAGATTTAAAAACATCACCATAAATTCATTTTTTTAAATAAAATATAAATAGGGGCACACAAATATAGGGGACAGATCACATACTGGAGAACTGTTTATCCATAAACTACCTTCTTTTTACACATTTCTAACAAAATCAAAGTTGCAAACTTGAGCATCCAGATTGCCTCAAATTAATTGGTAAAATACCTTCAGTATATTAAAGCAATCCAGTGTGATAATGACATATAAGTTTGTTAATTGAACAGGACATAACTCTGAGCCAAAATGGCCAAGCTAGTGAAGAACTACTTTAATTTATCTTTCTCAGTCAGATATAAACCGCCTCCAATTACTCTTAACAATTTAAATGGCTCCTTTTTATAGCTACTTTAAAAAAAGTTGATGTGGCATATTGTTCCTGTCTGTTACACAGGATTAAACTTTTAATTGTCTATAATTTGTTTATAAAGTGTAATATATATATATATATATATATATATATATATATATATCTTTTACATATGTTTAACCTTCTGTTTCATTACCCATCACTTTTTTATTATAAATATTAACCCCAGAAAATATAAACTCATAAAATGGGTTATATCTTGTTTACCCTTAATGTAATGTTCTATAATTATTGCTGCTGAAATTGGACTTGGAGAGAATGTACAAAGTGCCTGTAAAATATTGATTGCATTTTGGCTACATTGTGAAATTCTATTTTTCAGAATGCATATAACGTAAGTGATATTCTGGCTGGCTTGCATAGAGAATCTGTCAAAAACCTACAGAACAGATGTACGAGAGACCTAAAATTCATGGAATTAATTATCGCTATATTTTATTATTAGTTATCTTTTACAAACATTCATGAGACTATTCTAAATTGTTTGACATTTCCATGAAAGTGTGAAGATTATAACAGTTCTTAATAAGGCAGAGATGGCCTAGATAAAACCAGCCAAAAAGTAGCTCTTAAAGAGACCATAAGCATGCATCACTGATGTGCTGCCTCTTTACTTGGGAGAACAAAATGGGTGGAAACACAGATCATGTGAAACAATGGGATTCTCTCCCCCACAATTTTTTGTGATCTCATATTTTATGAAAAAAATAATCTTACATGCAGGGACTTGCTCATTGGTAAAAGGACCATGTCTTCAGCCCAGAGTTAATTTTATTTGCAAAAAGATAAAAAAAACTAATCACACTCCAATCATGTGAAAATCCATAGAAACATAGAAAGTGACGGCAGATAAGAACCATTCGGCCCATCTAGTCTGCCCAATTTTCTAAATACTTTCATTAGTCCCTAGTCTTATCTTATAGTTAGGATAGCCTTATGCCTATCCCACGCATGCTTAAACTCCTTTACTGTGTTAATCTCTACCACTTCAGCTGGAAGGCTATTCCATGCATCCACTACCCTCTCAGTAAAGTAATACTTCCTGATATTATTTTTAAACCTTTGTCCCTCTAATTTGAGACTATGTCCTCTTGTTGTGGTAGTTTTTCTTCTTTTAAATATATTCCCTTTATATATTTAAATGTTTCTATCATATTCCCCCTGTCTTGTCTTTCCTACAAGCTATACATGTTAAGATCCTTTAACCTTTCCTGGTAAATTTTATCCCGCAATCCATGAACCAGTTTAGTAGCCCTTCTCTGAACCCTCTCTAAGGTATCAATATCCTTCTGAAGATACGGTCGCCAGTACTGTGTACAATACTCCAAGTGAGGTCTCACCAGTGTTCTGTACAATGGCATGAGCACTTCCCTTTCTACTGCTAATACCTCTCCCTATACAACCAAGCATTCTGCTAGCATTTCCTGCTGCTCTATTACATTGTCTGCCTACCTTTAAGTCATCAGAAATAATCACTCCTAAATCCTTTCCTCATATGTTGAGGTTAGGACTCTATCAAATATTCTGTACTCTGCCCTTGGGTTTTTATGTCCAAGATGCATTATCTTGCACTTATCCACATTAAATGTCAGTTGCCACAATTCTGACCATTTTCCTAGTTTACCTAAATCATTTGTCATTTGGCTTATCCCTCCTGGAACATCAACCCTGTTACATATCTTAGTATCATCAGCAAAAAGAAAAATCCAGGAGCTAAACTGGACCAAGGAACAGCACCAGCCCCAGGGAGTAGATATCAGTGGTAGAAAGAGGATCTAGGCACTCCAAGTATCTTCATATGTATTTATTGGGACAAGTGAGACACCACCATGTTTTGACTCTGAAAGGGTCTTTGTCAGGGGTGAAAACGTTGCATTGTTTCACTTGTCCCAATAAATACATTTGAAGATACTTGGAGTGCCTGGATCCTCTTTCTACCAGGGTTAATTTTATGGACATTCCACCTATTTTACCTTTAGGTCCTCTAAAAACCCATCCTACACCAGACCCTATGTCTGACTCTAAAATGTCATAAATTATATTGTGACATTAAATATTTTAATACATTCCTCATGTTATAAAAACTTATATCTATAAACTGAACAGTCGTTGCTATTGTGGGTTACCTTCACTCAACTCTATTAAAAAACTATACCCATAGTTCTTATATTGTGCTTGTAACGGACCGTTTTGCACAAAAGGGGTAAAAACCGTTTAGGCGATCGGCCCCCTTTCCAGAGATGCAGGCACAGCTACTGCAGAACACCAAGCTCCCGAACTGGATACAAAATAGCACTCCAACTCCCGAACTGGAACCTCACGAATAGCTGCCAGCAGATGAACAGGAAAAGCTCCCAAGCGGCTTACACTCCTGGCAATCAGTCTCCAACAGCATACAGTGAATCCCCCCAAGAACGAGACAAGGCTCCGTGTTGAGGGTCAAGCAGTGGTCTGAGGTGCTGGCACACCCAGCCTGGTTTTTATTACAGTCTTGCAAATACAGGACCGCCCACAGGGAGGTATAAAACAACCAATCACATCACAGTTACATCCCACATATTCCCTCCCCTTATCCTGAGAGGAAACTCAATTACACATACAGTTAAAACATACTTTCTACCCAACTTTCATAACTCTAAAACCATACATCACATTCACATAAAATTACATATTCACAATCAATCCATTCAGGGGAACAACATATTCAAAAATGGCACAAATCAGACAAGGGGTTCAAAAGTTAGTAAAAGTCCTTTGTGACTAAATGAAGCATGGCTTTCTGGCCCAAACCAGTTTCAGAGTCTTCTATCCTGGAGAGTAATTCAATTATCTCCCAGGACAGACACAAGACTCCATTAAGCACATGGTTGCAAAAAGACACAAAACACTTTAAAAATACATAAAGTCACATTTATTACATAAAACACAGACATGTAACATATCCCCAGATAGCTCAGGTCCGAGCGCACATTATTAAGCGAATGGCGCTCAGACCACACGAATACAGTTTAATCGCCATGGAGCCAAAGTCTTTACAGTCAGTTTCATACGAATGGGCTCCATGGGATTTCTATCTGGGGTATAACACATTCAAACAAATCTACCGAACCCCAGGCAGAAAAGCACGAATGAAGCTTTTCTGCAGGTAAAAAAGATGTCTTTTAACAGGGGGCCATAGTCCAAAGGCAGCAGGCGAGCAACCAGGCTTCTCCAATGCAATGTGGCGAGATTGGTCTCGTCACAGTGCTGTATACTTATCTTCAAATATGCTCGGGGGCTTATAAATATTAGGCCCAGGGCTTTTTTCAATATTAGACCAGGGGCTTTTTTCAATATTAGACCCACTCACGGCTTTAGCCCTTGTCAATCACACTTGCTTACATGAGACAAAGTAGTCTATGCTACTAATGTCAACAAACGTTCAATGCAATCTATATGAATTTTCCATAAGGTTTCCATCTTTATGAAAATCTCAAACGTGTTAGTGCTGCTTTAAACTCTTGACTATATTCCTAATATAAATGAAATGTAAATACCTTTGTGTCAGATTATAGCTTAGTAATAATTGAGGATACCAAGGCAATGTTTGCCTTGGAAGAGGTTTACATAATAATTTATATATGCTTCAATTCAGTAATATTTTATTTGCATAATGATCAAATATTATTAAATAACTAATTGCTGAGATTGATCATTTAGTTAAAGTATATAGATATGGGGTAGGAAACCTTTAGCACTTCAGATGTTGTGGATTAGGTTTCCCGTGATGCTTTGCCAGCATTATGGCTTTAAGAGCTTTATGGGAAATATAGTTCACAACTTCTGGAGTGCAGAAGGTTACCTACCCATTTTTAATACATATTTTAATATATCTATTAAAACTATTATTGAGGGGCCTGGCCAAGTTCCGGTGATAGCGGACGCATGCTGTAGGAGCTTTGAGCATTACAGACCCGATTAGCAACGTTAAGACAAGCTAACCTACTGATTTGTACATCAAAAGTGGCCCCTAATAAAAGATCAAGAATCATGTCACCCTTGAAGCAACTGAAATTAACTGAATCTGTAAAACAAAAGAAAAAAGAAAGTCGGAAAGAATTCCAAGATGGCGACGACCAGGCCGCAATGTCACCGTCCTCAGACAGACTATCAGACCAGGATTCCATCTGCTCCAAATACTCTGAATCTCCAGTCACAGAATACAGCTTACACAAAATGCTGCAGGATTTATGTACCATGATTAATGCGGACTTCCATCGCATTGACGGACACCTAAGAAGAGAGATGTCTAACTTGGGTGACAGAATGAGTCACTTAGAAAGCCGGACAGAAGAACTGTGCACTGCTCACAAAGAAGTAGTAGACAAGGTACACAAGCTTGCTGAGGAAAATGCTTTATTAAGAAATAAAATGGATATGGAGGACAGATCGAGGTGGCAAAATGTTCGCTTCCAGACGATGAAGTCTATATTGAAGTCTTTGGTACCAGAACTACCTGCATGGGCCTTTGATCACATGCATAGACTTCCTTGCCCAGCTAGGCTCGCAGGGGACACACAAAAGATGTCATAGTAAAGTTCCATTATTATGCACACAAGGATGCATCACTAACAGCTGCCAGGAAGCTTTTTACATGCCCAGCTCTACACCAACATCTTTCCCTATTTGCGGACCTATCAGCAGCCACGATGGCAAAACACAGAGAATTTATTAATGTTACTAAAACCCTTTGCAGCCATAATATTTTATGCAAATGTGGACATCCCATGAAATTGCTAGTTTGGAAGTAAGGTAAAGGTCTGTATGAGGGAATGGGGGCTGTGGAATACTGCCTCTTCTCCAAAAACAGGCTCTTCATCCCCAAGAAGAATTCAAAATGAATGGCAAATGGTGGGATCTCTACTGAACAAATCTTGAACTTTGGATGCTAAACTCTTTTTGCTCAACCTAGTCACAATGGGAGACTCACATGAATCATGTCATCTTGTTGTTTCTAGTTAGAGTTATGGTTTTGTCCTTTTCTTCTTAACATAAAAGGGCTAAATAGTCTTCATAAAAGAAGGCTGATCATTAAAGATATGCACCACTCTGGGGCAACCATAGTCTGCCTTCAATATATGCACTTTTGTACTAAAAACCCGCCTCAACTTATATCGACTAAGTATCCTGTTGCATACCATGCATACACCCCAAACAAAATCAAAGGTGTTGCCATACTTTTACATGCAGATTGGGTTTTCAAATTACACAAACAATAAGCTGACTATGCAGGTAGACTACTAATTCTTGTAAGGGATCTAAATGGGATAGCATCTCTTTAAGCCCCTAGTGAAGCTCAGTATTCCTTTATGAACACTGCCATTAAGAAAATATCATCATACAATTGTCTGTGGTGATTAAAATTGTACCCTAGGCCTGAATCTGGTTATACAATGTACACAGGGTAGACCACCTAACAAATCCTCCATACACACCAGCAAACTATTCTCGAACCTGCTACACAATCATGATTTGTATGATACCTGGAGAAACAAACCCTTTACTTAAGTATTACACCTATTTTTATCCTGTACACATGACATACTCACGCATTGATTTATATATTGTAGACAAAACTACCCTTCCCCACGAAGAATCTCAACATATAGGGCAAAGCGTATGGTCGGACCATGCTCCAACAATGACCACCCTCAGAGGCTCCTACTCGTCGCGTGCAAGAGGCACATGGAGATTGAACTAATCCATCCTTGACTGCCCACTTTAAACAAAACAAATAGCAAACACATTACACACTTACTTCTCAAATAACATTACAGATGACACTACACTGGAAACACAATGGTTATCCCACAAGGCTGTTGTATGGGGAGAAATAATTAAAATAGGATCTTCCATCCCTTGTACACTCTGCTGGACATCTCTCTTTCCCACATATAAACATACATACACAAGCAAGATTATTGGAAGGATAAAAACCACCACCAAATCTATAGAGTGGAGCACATCAAATGGTGTGTAGATAACTTCAAAGTGTAAGATCACTATGTGAAGTAGTGATGGTTAAACTCACATGGTTCTAAGCTAGATTTGACAGGCTCAGGTCGTATTTGCAGTAGTGTACTTAGGTGACAGAATACCTCTTCCAAATTCTGTGATGTATGCTCTCAAGGAGACAAAAAGGTGTAGAAATAGGAGATAATGCTCTTAGTGTAACACAGTAAACTTCCAGGTAGTTTATATATACAATAAATGACTGCTTGTCAGGGCTTACCTGAATGGGAGTCTGTACCGCAGATATATGTGCTCACCCTTGCAAGTAAACACAGGCCAAGGTGGTCAGGTAAGAATTCACCTGGCCTGTGAGTCGGTGCATGGGGGCTGTGCAAGTCTCCAAGTCGCAGTACAGATACGGACATAAACAGGAGAATCGTCGTTGGTAAGCCAAAGGTCAGTGGGTGACAGAAATCAGGATAAACCGAGGTCAGAGGATGCCAGAAGTCAGGGTACACAAAATAACAAGCCAAGGTCAGGAACCAACAGGTGAACACGAAACAGCAATACTAGAACCAGAGTCAATGAACTGACACTTCCCTCAGGGAGAGGCAGTGTGTTATACCTGGATAATCAGTGATCAGCCACAGGTGAACCATGAGTGACAGGAGCAGTCTCAGAGAACGTCCAGCCCCCAGTGCTGGATACAAGGCAAGAGTAGACTTCTGGAAATTCCTGAGCTGTATGGTGACTCAGAGGCAAAAACAGCAACCCCAGGACTGCAGAGTACTCAGGTTCAAATCCCTATGGGGCACTTCTGGGGCAACCTCTTCTGGCAGTCTGGATGTTGCGGTAAGAACCGTGACAGTACCACCTTTTCAAGAATGCCCCCCGGGTGTGAATAGGTTCCTTGTTATAAAAGTACACCTCTTCAGGTTCACTATCTGAGTCATAGTCAAAGTCCCCAGTGTGGAATCCCTTTTCAGCTTCTGGTACGGCTGGAGAACAGTCCAGGTCTTTTAGGATCTGGGTACAGGTGGTAAGCACTTCCACTACTTCAGCAGGAGCGATGTTCGCGGCTAACAATGCTTCTTCAAACATTTCTAGATCTTCTGTACGGACTATAGTGCCATTAGAAGCAAAGGCACAATCCACAGGTAAATCTTTTTTGGGCTGACAGAAAGTAGTGATGGTATTACTGGAAGTAGCTTCGGGAGTAGATGCAGGCGGCTCTGGAGCAGGGGATGGATGGTTCTCAGGGGTACTGGTTGCAGGTTCTTGAGGGACACTGGTAACATTGACTGTAGTGGTTTGGGTACCCTTTTGTGTCACAGAACAGGGACAGGGCTGGCAGTTTCCAGGTTATCTTGCCGGGATGACAGGATAAGTCCGTAGGGTACCCATTAGAAGAGTTTTTGGCCTAGGTGGACGAGTTGGGCAGAGAGAGACAAAATGCCCTCTTTCTCCACAGTAAAAACACAGGCCCTGGACTCTCCTATGGTCTCTTTCCTTAGGAGCCAACCTGGATCGGGTAAATCCAATCTCCATAGGTTCCTTCCTGTCCAGAGGAATTTCACAGCTTACTTGGTTACATTCAGGCTGACAAGGCCGGTCGCTGAAGGTAGGTTTGTACTGGAACAGGATGGAGTCATCTTTTTCTCTGGTTACCCAAGATCTGCGGGGTCCTGGAGCAGGCTTTGGAGTTGCTTTCCTGGAGGCAACGCACTGAGAGTCCATTGCTGTCATGAATGACTCCCAGCTTTCCAAGACAGTGCTTTTTTCCTGCAGCTTCTGGTATGCCCACTCCTTAATCCATTCAGAAAGTAAATTAATAGCAGTCCGGATCTTGACTAAGTCGCTGTAATAGGTCCTGGGCTTAAGGGCAAACAGGAACTCACAATCCATCCTGAATGTTGTAAATGAGGAACGGGAACCATCAAATCTTACAGGCATCACAACAAATGGCTTTGGATAAGCAGGTTCTGGGGCTGGGCGTACCGTGCCTTTAAGAAATGGAACTTCTTGCTGCAGCTCTGAAACAGTCTGGGTCAGGCTGGACACTTGCTGAGCAAGGGAGGTGAGCAGCTTACATATCTGTCAGGGCTTACCTGAATGGTAGTCTGTAGCGCAGATATATGTGCTATGTATAATCATCTGATTACATATTTGAAGTGATGGAAAGTATCCATTCACGTCACTTCCTGGTTGCGTTACACCATTTTTATTGTGGGCAACTTCCCTATTACGGCGTTGACAACATATGAATGTCATGCCGAATACCTCCCTGAAAGGGGAGGAATTAATCCATATTTCAGCAAATCGGAATTGAGTATTCTCGGATTTATTGTGAGGATCAATGCTACACATCATATTTGCCATTTCAATGCAAAAAAGGGGAGAAAAAAATGAAAAATATATAAAAATAGGTTACAATCCATCTTAAAAACCATATATTAAAAAACAGTATATCGTGGAATACATCAAACCCCTGCATAGGGCTGTATGATAAATATATATTTTGCTGATATATGCAAAACAATATATAAAAATATGCTCATATATATTCAAATACATAAAAAATATATATAAAAAATATAAAAAAACATGTAAAATATGTACATATATATAGAGCCATATATTGTTACTAATAATTCCTTCCCATTTTGAATGTATTAAATGTACAAAAGCATGGCAGATTTGGAAATCACTGTTGAGGCCAAACGGTAATAATGAATTGAGGTTGAATATCCATCTCATTTCTAGTTGGCCCATCTTTTTAATTAGATCCTCCCCTCTCCAGTTTGTTTTGACTTTCTGAATCCCTATAAATTTAAGATATTTTGGGTTACATTCATATTTCAATTTAAAGTGTAGCGAGAGGCTGTGTTTTTCAAATCAATTTTTGATGTTTCATATATGTTCCTGTATTCTAACATTCAATGTTCTCGTAGTTCTCCCTACATATGTTAAGCTACAGTCACAAATAATCAAATAAATTACTCTTTTGGTGTGACAATTGATTTATTTTGTTGCTTTCTTGTTCGTTTCGAGGGTGGTTAAAATTCTTTACATCTTTTCGTCAACCCTGTATTTCTACAAGCTCCACAATAACCACATCCATAAAAGCTCCCCTGTTTGTGAAATGGGTTTGTGGGTATTTTATGTGGTTTAATATGATTACTTGTTAGATTAGATTTTAAGTTAGGTACCCCTCTATAAGTAAATATGGGTTGTTCCAGAAGTATTTGATTTAATGTGGCATCCTCCTTTGGTAGGGGTCAATATTTTGAAAAAAATGTTGATAACCTTTACAATTAAAATCACATGAGATTCTGTTAGTATCCACAACATCTTGTTTTTGTTTGTATT